GAAGTTGTAGACCGAGCACCGGCCAATCAGTGAAGAGCTGTGAAGCCATGACGTCAAACTCCAGCGTCTGTCTGGGTCCCTTTTGTGGAACAGCACAACAGTAAACAAAGCGTCGAGATGGATGTAGACGAAGACAGACATTCTGTGTTGGCAACGATTCCTGAGATCGAGGATTTAAAGACGGAACAAAGAGAATGTTTGGTGAATTTTATTAGGGGGAAAGACGTTACTGCTGATGTAACAATAACCGAAATATCATAATATTGTATAGTCAAAGTTCTCGCAATAATATTGTGGACCAATATATCGAATTACAAGCCTCTTTGCTTAAATTAAGAGTTATGATGCAGCCATATCTAAAAAAAAAGACAGAGGGAACTACATAGATCCATGATCCTTTGCTCCAGACTACATGAAGAAATAAGAGTTCTAAGCACTTTTAAGTCTTAGTTCTTTGGATTAAGTCTTGTCAAGGCATTTTAAGAGGAAAAAGTGGCATATTAACACTTCTAGCTCCACAAAATATTGCAATAAATATTGTACCGTGAGGTTCATCCCGTGACGATATCGTATCGTGATACTTATATATATATATATATTGTTACACCTCTAGTTATTGTCACGACCAAATAGTAGCGACTGGTTAAATAAAAAAGTACCCGCCTACCGTCGAGTGAAGGAATCCTAAAGCTGCGAGGTCAGGCTAATGAATCAGGCTAGATCTTTGTGGCATTTATTTCAGTATTTATTACGCTTTGAAATGAGTAAATATCAAATTAAAGATGACATTAATAAGCAGCATCCATTTCTGCGAGTGCACTTTGTGGTGTAACTAACCGTCGCACCACGGGCTAAGCACCTGTGTGTGCGGCGTCTATGTGAGCCCATGGGAAAGGGTCAGGCCTGGTCACAGTCAGGAGTCTCTCATATGGACTGGATCAGCCCCCGCAGAGGTCAAAGGGCACGGGGTCAGGGGTTGAGCTCTCTAAACCAATCACAGGTCAGCTCGGGGCGGAGGGGCTTTCCATGTGAAGTGAATGGTGCTTAGACAGGATAAGAGGGGCACACCCTAAGCCTGGTTTATGACCCACTTTGAAAAAAAGCAGCTACTCATTCAACCCCCACTAATCATGATGCAGGCCTTTTCACGCACCGGGATCAGTCACATTTACAATCAATACATTCATTTTCACAACTTAAAAAAGAAAATAAAACTGGTCTTAGCAATGTTTAGCTCATTAGATGGTATCAAAAACATGTGACGCAATTTTAGACTATTTTAAAATTTAAATGCAGCCAAACGATTTAAGAACGTACAATATTTTACGATATTTTCTGAGCTATTTTATTATTACGCTGTTTTCTAATCAAAAACAGACCCGATTTGTTATTTTTATTCACACTAACCCTGCATATTTAGGTTGAGTTCTTCTCTCAAACAGAAAACACCCTATTCCACCTTGTGATGTCACGTGGTGATACAGGAAGTGCTCCATTGTGTTTTTAAACTCCACACACCTTCTCTAGAATCATTTGGATCATTTCAGCCCTGGAATTTCACAATTTCTGCCAATTAAATGGTAAAAGATAGCTGTAAATTTGAAAACTAGGTCATTTATTTATAATTTTGTAATTTTGAGGGAACGCCACATTAATAACAAAATAAACATAACAAAATATAAGACATACAAAAAAACAAAAACAACAACAACAAACAACAAAAGAACAATAAGTAAATAAAAAGATGGGGTTAGGGGGTTGCGTGTAGTTTCTCAGTGCAGTGTTTACATGTGTGTATTTACATTTTTGGGCTGTCAAATCAAATTTACATTTCTACATTACATTTTCTGTTCCCTTTGTTATCTGTTTATTCTTTTTTATCAGAGCATTTTGAGATTAAACAAACTAAAAACTAGGATTACTGAAACACGTGTAAGGAGGTAACAACATTATAATATTGGGCTGGGTATCATTAAGAATTTGCCGATACGATACATAGGCCACGATGCAATACATATCTCGATACAGTGCACTTTTGGTTCGATACGATATATTTCAAATCGATTCAATAAAAAATAAAGACTAAATCATGGCTGTGACACTAAAAGTCTTTGTTAAACCACTTCTTGTGCAAAGTTAATATGAAACACAAACATTTTAATTATCAAAACAGTGAAAATGTCAAATGTGTCGCATAAACGAGTGTCCTTCTTCTAAACAAGTAACAAAACTGTAGCGCTGTATTGTATTGTATTACTGTATTTATGTATTTATTTTGGGCAAGGAAGAAATGCATATTCTTTTACATTGGAACACAAGACATTAATGAAATCATTGCAGAAATAACAGCAACAACAAAAATAAATAAAAAGAAACAACTGGCCCAAAAAGGAGAGGGTAGAAGAAACTTATTTAATCCCACCCTCCTCTTCTAATCTAACACAATTTATATTAAACTATATGAACTATTTACAAGTGCGGACAAAAAAAAATCACTGTTATAACTGTAATTCTGTAACAAAATAATTTAGTAAAATATGACAAAAAATACTTGCCATATCGGTACAGCAGCCCATGATATCGATACTGTATCATCACATTAAACGATATGATATATAGATATTTCGATTTTTTGCACACCCACAAGAATCCATTTTGTGCGGGCTAATATAGAACCTTTAAATAAATAAAATCCGCTATTATTTCCCATGCATCGAATATGATAATTTAAAACCCCTTTTGAAACCACACCGCGCTTTGGGGTTGACTTAAATTTACATTTAAAGCGAACGACGAAACGTAAATATGCAACAACGACTCGTCTGGCCTGTACCAAGTGTCCTTGACCTCTTAATTTGACATAATGCTAAAATACCACTTGCTTTTACTGGCACCGGGCCTGTGTTTTGATTTCCTATTGAGACTGTGAGTGGTTGTGGGTAGTGGAGAAAAAAAAAACAACAGATTGCGTTTCAACCACAAGGTGAAAAATATTAGGCCATATTTTACGTTAAGCGGTGGTGTTATTATTAAATGCATGTGCAAAAGAAGTGAATGTGGGTCCTGAACGTAACGCAGCGTGCAGACAGGAGGAGGGAAGAGGAGACGTTTGCGCTGATTCGCCCTGACACTTGTTAGGAAGCGTCACAGCAGCAGCAGCAGCCACGAAAGCCTGTATTTGTGCTCTTGTCTGCAGCGTGCGTGTTCGTGTGTACGTGCGAGGGAGCCGCCGGGTGATTCATCCGGACGTGCGCGCTCATGTCACGCCCGTGCACGCGCGTCCTCCTCACCCTCACCCCCCCCTCCCTTCCTCCTCGCCACCGCCGGGGACCCACGTTACTTTGATTGACAGCTCAAACCCAGCCTTTCACCCACCGCAGAGCCCGCCCTTCGCGCCTCCGGAATGGAAGCTACCGTGGACGGGACTCCCAGGCATTTCGCTCCGGGGCGGGTCCTGCTCCAGCTCGCACTTTTGTTGACGATTTCGCTAAAATATTCCTGGGAAAAACACGACAAAAACGAGTTTATAGTATCAGATTAAGAGCTAAGGATAGAGTTAATTCATTTTCACAGTATAAAAATGTTAATATTATGATAGAAATTCCGAAAATATGGTGTTATTTGTGTCTACTTCAACAAAAAATTATACGTACAATCACAAACCTAACTGCAACTTGTGCCCAGTTTAACCATAGCTCTACTTTGTTCAGTTTTTTAATCATAATTTAAAAAAAAAAAAAGAGAAAGAAAGAAAAGTCTGAACCACGTGATTATGTAAAACAATTGGGGTAGGACTCTATAACTTTTTTTTTAAACCAGGTCCCAAATATGTTCACGTAAATATCAGTATTTTTTGTTATTGTTTTTGAATTTTTGTTGTACCTGGCTCAAACTACCAAATAAATTAATGAATAATCCTTAAACAACTTGTAAACAGTTTAATAATTACCCTAATATTTATGGTGAAATCGGCCAAAATTTTTAACTTTTACATGTCATCGTCAATAAAATACATTATTACGCTGGCATAAACATCTTATTTGTGTTAACCATAACAAAACTCTACTTCTAAACCTTTCCCGTCTTGTTCAAAACAAGACAAAACAAACAGGAAACCGTCGTCTCTACCTGTGTACAAACGAGATAAGAAAAGATTGATTTGTCCCACAGACAGTTGGGGCCACAGTGAGGATTTTCAGTGTTGCAACAGCGAAGTAGCCAGTATAATAAATATGCGAAGGATAAGGTGATTAAGGATTGGCTCAGTGGGATTAAAATAATATAAACTAGACTTATCAAACTGAAATTAGCAATACCGGTGTGTCTATCTGAAACCTAACCTAACACAACCTCAGTGACTTTGCAATCCAGTTTGACAATTAAACAGACATTGTTGCCAAAATAAGCAAAAAGTCAGTACCTGGAGTTGCAACACCCTACAGACTAATTTTATAATAACCTCAACCAGAAACGTGTTCTGACGCACGATCATAATCTTAGATCAAGGTGTAAACTAAATGTATGTCGCATTTATTGTTAAAATAAGCAGAAAACCATTGTCACTACTTAGAAATATTAAACAGTGGGTTAGGCAGACATTAAAAGGCCTAACCCGGAGAGCTATTCCTAATCCTAACCTTAACCACCGCCATTTTACGAGACTTAACCACATGTCTAAGCCGATATGTAATTAAGTTTGACAATTAAACTCATATTAATTGTCAAAATAAGCACTTACACTACACGAATCAAGATGAACCAAGCCCCCTCGGTCGAAATGCCTGGGATTTAGCGACGCCTCGTTCCTATTGGTCAACCCCAGCGTAGCTCAACGAGGTCAACCGGCTCTGGGCACTTTCCGCGCCCCCGATTGGACGAACAATAATGGACCCACGTGGAGCCGCGATTCCCATTGGCCCGGCGCCGTTTAGGGGGCGGGCCCAGCGCGTCGGTTAGCCTGAGAGCGTGAAACCGCGTGAGAAAGTTGCCATTGAGGTAAAGCGAAGCTACGGGGAGCGACGTATCCGAGAGAGTAGTTGTTTTCAAGCCAAAAGCGGGTTTATTTCTCGATAAATCTGCACGGAAGTCGATTGAAACACACTGGGAACTAAAATACGATTGTTTTTTTTCTTTTTTTTAATGCTTGGACGCCTCGACAATTGGTTCGACCGCAGCATCGAGTCAAGTGGGGACTCTTCAACGCAATTAACTTGTGTGGATTTCCGCTGACCTTACCGAGAGCACTTCTTTGTGGTCACCGGGCTTGAATTTCCCCCTTGTTGGCCAGTTTTCTCGTCTATCTTCTTGGGAATATACCGGGTTGTACACAATAAACAGCACAACGGTCGCCGGAGAGTGGTTGGACGGAGGAGCCTTTTCATTCTTCACCTGGTTCCTACTATTACCCTCCTCCACTTCTGCCTCCGCCGCCGCCGCCGCTTCTCCTCTCGCCCCCTCCAGCTAATGAGCCGTTTCCCGTGTTTTTCCGGTTGATTTACGACCACCGCCACTACCGCTGGAGCTAAAAACGAAGCGGGAGCGGAGCAAAGGGGGTGCACAATTCACGTTAATCGCTCGTTAAACTCGGACGGAGCATCGGGGCGGTCGGTTTGCCTCGGAATTAACGAGGGTTGGGGGGGGGACCGTAACGGCGGATGGATGCTCCCCGGTGGTCCTGCTCTCGTTGAGTGTCCCCCCGTCTTATTATTGCGTTTTTTTCTGCCCTAAAGGAGAGTAGATCATCCAACCTCCTCCCCCCCGCCGTTGATAACCATGTTTCCCCAGGGGCGCCACCCGGTAAGACTCCTCACCCCCGGACCCACGTGTCCAATACGAGGCTCCCGGGCCCAAATTAGTCCATTGTGCTCATTTTTTGTGGACCGGCCAAAAATTTGTCTCTCGTGAGCTTTTAGTCGTGTTATGATGTTGCTACCTCATCGAAAACATACCTGGAGTTGCGTTTTGTCTCGCTCGCTTATGTTTTGAGTAATCGTTCACTATCAGTTTTACATCCCCGAAACTTAAAACGCGCCGTTCCACTTTGTGATGTCACCTAGTGGTATTTATTTTTTTTTGCAAGTTGACCGCTCCTTTTTACCTTTTTAGTTCAGAAGAGATTGGCGGATTTAGAGCTGAAAATGATGCTACTGAAAGTGTGTGGAGTTTGAAAGCAGTCGAGCACTTCCTGTATCACTGCATGACATCACAAGGTGGAACGGCATGTTTTAAGTTTCAGACAAAAGCCTAAATACGCAATATTTATGTGTTAATCTTGTGAAAATGAAATAAAAACGCAACTCCAGGTATGTTTTTGATGAGGAAACATAAAAAATAGATAAGAAAATAACGTAATACGGGCTCTTTAAAGGTGTAACTTTTCAGGAGGTGTGGTCGTTCTGCTGTCTGCCTGTTTTTATGGAGAGCTTGTTATTATTTTGACAGGAATGTTCTGTAGTATAGCATTTAACTTAGATCACTTAATCGGTAGTTGACTAGTTGGTATTTATTTTTATGTCTAATTGACTGCACAAGTGATTATTCAATTGTAAATGTAGATTTTCATAAATAGATAAACTTTTACATCAGATAAAGGTGTAAATTAAACTTTTAGATCGATAAATTGTACAAATAATGTGTTTCATGTGAGGAAAATTGCATTGCTTTTGCCTTTCTATTGAATATTGCCACTGTTTCTCTCATAAAACAACTTTTGGCCAGTTTTTCAGAGTGTATAGTCCAGATTCTAAAAATAGTCAATGCTTATTTGAATCGCCGACTTGTCACACATATTTCCATTTGTTGACAATGAAAATAAGCGTGTTTTGTTTTGCTTTCACGCCTTTAAAAGCGTTTTATTGCTCAAAAAATACCTCGATAAAACAGGCATTGTTATTGTGAACTGGACCGGGCTCGCCTCTCCACAGATTTGACTTGTTATGCGGCCTTGTGGCGTTACCTGCTTGTCTGTGTGCGGTTGGATAAGTTTAATGCCGTACTGTGAAACATTCCAGACAAAGCCAAAACGTCTCCACCAATAGACGGTAGTCAGACGGAGGCAAATAAGAAGTTAGAGGCAAGTATTTGTGTAATGGGTAGTTTCATATTCTGGTCGCCTTAGAGCTGTAATCTAATGACTATTTTGTATCGTGTTCCACTCTAAATGCAGAACCAGTTGTGTTCAATTAGTCTGTACGGGGCGGTTTAGGTGACCAATAGGCATGCGACGTGAAATGGCTTCGCAAACAACGAAACTATTACCAAATATAGAGGGTTTACACTACTGGGCCGCACAGTTTGGGTGAAAAAAAAAAACATGCTTGTGACCATGATTAGATTTGCGATTTTATGTTTTTAAAAGTAAGTTCCTGTGCAGAGTTCACAATGTAAACAACACCAGGACTATTAACATTTCAGGGAAGACTGAAATATGAACTCAGACAAGAATCCCATGCATTTTAAACGTGTTTGAAGAGGTCTAAACTACTGGTACAGCTGCATTTTTCTGTTTAAAAGATAAGGCAAATTGCAAGTTACAAGTTAGATCCAGTAGTGGTGATTGTTTTGCAGCCCTACTTAACACTTATCTTAAAAGGCCCGTGTTACGCTATTTTCACGCTGTTTTAATGCAGTTTCCTCATCACAAACGTGTTTTGGTTCATTCGCACATGTTTAAACACTCAAACTCTGCATATTTAGGCTGAGATCATCTACGTTTTTAAACTCCATACTTTATTTTCTGGATAATTTCAGCTCTGGAATTGCCAATCTCGACTGTAACTAAAGGTAAAAAGGTAGTTGTTAACTTGAAAACTACCACTTCATGACATCACAGGGTGTAAGAGAGCATTTAGAGGTTTGGAAATGCAGTCAGACTGATAATAAACTTACTCAAACATGTGCGAATGAAACAAAAAACACAAGTCTAGGTCTGTTTTTGAGGGGAAAAAAACACCATTCAATTTTGTGTAATATGGAACTTTAACATGTAAATGGAAAATGGATGTGAAACTAATAATTTTGACTTTAACAGCTACTTATTATCAAACTACCAGTGAAAAATTACCCTGTTTGACCACTTCCTACCAAAAAACGTTTACTTGAAAGCTACTATTTAGTTTAAATATTGGTACTACGTGTTTACATCCTGGTTCTCCACTTGATTATTAGCCTCGTCTTTCCGGCCCTGCTATCGGAGCATCATAAAATGTTAAAAGTCAGTAATAATTACAGCTTGTTGACATGGTTTGGTGTTAAGCCTGGAGCTAGAGGCACCAGATGCACATAGAGTGACTCATATAACAAGGAACTATCATTTCAATAACAGTGTTTATGTGTGTGTGTGTGTGTTAGACTCCCCACCAGGCCCCAGGGCAGCCCTTCAAATTCACCATCCCCGAATCGTTGGACCGCATCAAGGAGGAGTTCCAGTTTCTACAGGCTCAGTACCACAGGTGGGTAACAGGCCTAGTATTTAAATGTATATTGTTGTCATGTTTGACCTAAATGTGAGTTTTCTGACAGAGATTGGAGCAGGGCTGGGAGATGTATTGAAATGTTGATACTCTGCACTAGGGGTGTGTGAAAATATCAAAATATCGTATTTAATGTGATGATACAGTATAGATATCATGGGCTGCTGTAAGAGTAATTTTTGGTGTATTTTTGCAAAGTTATTTTGTTGCAGTACTACAGTGTTGTTGTTTGTTTAGAGGAACGAAACTGTTTTATGCAACACATTTGGCATTTTCACTGATTTGATGATTGAAATGGGCGTGTTTCTTTAGTATCACAGACACGATTTAGCTTTTATATTTTACTGAACCGTATCAAAACGTTTTGAAATATATCTTATCGATTTGAAAGTGCACGGTATCTAGATATCTATTGTACAGGGGCCTGTGTATCGGGCCTATGTATCAAGATATGTATCGTATCGTAGACTGTGTGTCTCAGTATGTATCGAAATATAGATCTTCCCGAGATATGTATCGTATCGAGTTATGTATCGTATCGTGGCCTATGTATCGAGATATGTATCGTATCGTGGCCTATGTATCGAGATATGTATCGTATCGTGGCCTCTGTATCGAGATATGTATCGAATCATTGCCTATATATTGAGATAGGTATCATATTCGTGGCCTCTGTATGGAGAAATGTATCATATAATTTCCTATGTATCGAGATATGTATTGTATCGTGGCCTATTTAATGAGATATGCATCGTATCGTGGCCTATGTATCGAGATATGTACCATATCCTATGTATCGAGATATGTACCATATCATGGCCTATGTATCGATATATGTACCATATCATGGCCTATGTATCGAGATATGTATCGTATCATGGCCTATGTTTTGGGGTATGTATCGTATCAAGGTATATATCGTATCGGCAGCTTCTCAATAATACCCAGCCCTACTTTGCAGTGACGTCACTCCGGGGCTGTTCTACATGTATGTGCATTGGCAGAATGTTTACCGTTTACCAGTTACCATGGAGACACAATGCACACGTTCACAAACACAGCCAAAAAATGTTTTAAGATTATCTGAAAACTCATGAGAAAATACAGTATGGATTTAAACCCTACACGTTCAGGAGCCGTTCTTGGTCTCGTTCGGGCGATTTTCAGAGCGACTAACTGAAAAATTGTCGGCTGATGCCAGTCGGCGTGTGACTGTAACGTTGTTTGAGAGCGGCTTGTTCAACAGCACAAATCAACTCATCTGTTGTAATTCTAAGTAAAACTAAGTCGGTTAATTCTGGTCAGATTACGTTAAAATAAAGCTCAGATTAAAGTCTCAGATGGAGCATGCTCACAGTTGGCATCGCACCCCCAGGGACGGTGGATGACGTCGGCTGCAGAGTATCAACTGATAATATTGTAATTGTTGTTTTGGAAAACTGCAATATTAGCGCAACGAGTGTATTGTCTATAAATAAAACCTTATTTTGACCTTTAAAAAAAAACTAACAAAAAACAAGTAAACGTAATCTCCCAAACAAAGATACAAAGTGATATTTCTGTACTTTTCTCCATAATTTAATATTATCATTTATTATAATCCTTATGAATATTTTTTATTATTATTAGGGGTGTGTAAATATATTGAAATATTGTTATATTGTATTGTTTAATGTGATTATACAGTATCGATATCGTGGGCTGCTGTATCGATATATTGCCAAGAGTATTTTTGGTATATTTACTAAATTATTTTGTTACGGCACTACAGTTTTGTTGCTTGTTTAGAAGAAGGAATCTCGTTTATGTGACACATTTGACATTTCACTGTTTTGATGATTGAAATGGGCGTGTTTCATATGAACTTTATTGGTTTTACAAAGACTTTTAGTGTCACAGCCATGATTTAGCCATTAACTTTTATTGAACCGAATCGAATTGATTTGAAATATGTCAAATCAAATCAAAAGTGCACTGTATCGAGGTATGTATCGTATCGGCAACTTCTTAATGATGCCCAGCCCTTATTATTTTTAAAATGAGTAGTAGTTCATATTTATATACCGCTTTTCAAGACATTCAGAGACGCTTTACAGAACACACATTAAAACAGTCAAAAAAGAAAATATAATAAATATAAAAACAGTATTGACACGAGTTAAACATCAAAAGCTTGTCTAAATAGATGATTTTTGGTCCATTTCTGTTTTGTATGACACTTGACCTCAACAAACACATTTACAGACACATCTTAGCACATTCCTGATGCATTCTTAAAATCTGAGTATAGAAAAGTAAATTAAAAAAATACAGCGATTATATACATTTTTGTCTGTATTACTCACTTTTAGACAGGCATAAGTACATTCTTAGTCGACTAAAGACCTTCCCTGTGCAACAATTACTTACAGCGATGTGCCAAAGCTTTCAAAATGATTTGGATCTTATTATTAGGATCTCAAAAATAACGATGTAGATACTAGTAAAAAGCATCTTCATTCATCATTCTCATCCCTATAGATTCCTAAAACAATAATTAGTCGACTCATAAGTAGTTCAGGGTACAGAAAAATTCACATTTGACAGAAAACTGAACTGATAAACGAATGAAAAAACAACTGCAGCTTAATGTTTCTGGAGGTCTAAACTTCAGAATTGGCAGATTTTATGCATAATTCAACCCCAAATTGCATTATCTGCCCAATTGTGTATGACCTTCTTAGTCTAGAATCTAAAACGATCCATTTTTGAGCCGGTTTTGGTCGAGTTTCGCGAGCTCCTCCTGTCGTTGTGTGGTCCTACTTTAAGTCGTGGTTTAGGACGAGTTTATCGCGGTGTTTAGTTTAGATTTAAAGATATTAGTAAAGTACACAAAGACGGGATATGTGAATTTAAACCGGCTGGATATTTGTCTTTCCATTTGTTTTGACGCTCTCCCAAACGCGCCGAAGCTACGAGGGTTTTGCCAAGAGACACAGCGGCAGTAAGCAATTGCCAGATTGTATCACCAACAATATCAGCTGCCCCATTAGTCTTGAATTGCCTTTTTGTTTTGGCTCAGTCCTGGTTTCAGGTTTGGTTAAGGCACAGTTGTAGACCTGGTTTAGTCCTAGTTTAGACCGGTTCAGACCAGTTTCATTGGCTTCACGGTCAGACCTTTGTCATGTTTCATATTATGAGTGGACTCTAAAGTGATTGTGTTGTGGAAATTGTTGAAACTTCTTTTTTTTTTTTTCTATTTCTAACACAAATAGAAGAGCTAAAGATGTGGTTTTATCTTCACACACAAGAAAAAACATTGAGATATATTTTTTTTTACAAAAGGGATAAGTGAATTTGTGCACTCAACTATAACTACTTCAGTTTGTGCGTCTTACTATTGATTTTCAGAAAAGGAATCTTGATTTTGGCAAACAAAATCAAGACGAATATTCATAAAAAATCCAAATTGGACCATCCCTAGTCCAATATATCCAGTTTTAGTTCTATAGTACTAGTTTAGATCCATTTTCGACCACGTTTAGTCCTTTTATCCTCAATCAGTCCTGGTTTACTTGACTTGCATTGGTCCATTTACCTGTTTTGGTGCTACAGTCCCAGTTTTAGACCGGTTTTAGACCAGTGTAATTGTTTAGTCCTGGATTAGTACCAGATTTAGTTTTATAGTCAGAAATTAGACCTTTTTAAGATTACGTTTAGTACTTTATCTTAAATCAGACCTGGTTTAAATTTGGGTTGGTTAATGTCCTGATTTAGTCCTGGATTAGTACCAGTTTGAGTTCTGTAGTCTTAAATTAGACCTGTTTTAAGACTATGTTTAGTACTTTATTCTAAATCAAACCTGATTTAGACTCTGGTTGGTTCATTTTCTGATTTCGTCCTTATTTAGTCCTGGATTAGGGCCAATTAAATTCTGTAGTCCCACGTTAGACCTGGATTAAGACCAGTTTTATTTCTGTAGTCCCAGTTAAAACCCTTTCAAAAGACCAGGTTCTGTATCCTGAATGAGCCCTGGTTTAGACTTGGGTTGGTCCATCTCCAGATTTAGTCCTCGTTTAGTCCTGGATTAGAACCATTTCAATTCTATAGTCCTGGTTTAGACCCTTTTTCGACCAGGTTTGGTCCTTTATCTTGAATCAGACTTGGTTTAAACTTGCGTTGGTTAATGTTCCAATTTCGTTCTTGATTAGTACCAGTTTTTGTTCTGTAGTCCTAAATTACACCTTTTTTTTAAGATCACGTTTAGTATTTTATTCCAAAATCAGACTTGATTTAGACTCTGGTTGGTTCTTGATTTCATCTTTGTTTAGTCCTGGATTAGGGCAAGTTTTAGTTCTGTAGTCTCAATTAAGACCCTTTCAAATGGATCTTTATTCTGAATCAGCCCTGGTTTAGACTTTCGAGTTGGTCCATCTCCAGATTTCGTCTTTGTTTAGCTCTGGATTAGTACCAATTAATTTCTATAGTCGCTGTTCAGACCCTTTGAGACCAGGTTTAGTCTTTTATCTTGAATGAGCCCTGGTTTAGACTTCCTGTCTTGGATTAGTACCAGTTTAAATTCTGTAGTCCTAAATTAGACCTTTTTTAAGACCACGTTTAGTACTTTATCCTAAATCAGACCTGGTTTAGACTCTGGTTGGTTCTTGATTTCATCCTGGATTAGGAACAGTTTTAGTTCTGTAGTCCCAGTTAAGACCCTTTCTAAAGACCAGGTTCTGTATCCTGAATGAGCCCTGGTTTAGACTTTTGGGTTGATTCATCTCCAAATTTCATCCTTGTTTAGTCCTGGATCAGCACCCATTTTAGTTCTATAGTCCTAGTTTAGACCCGCATTAGACCACATTTAGTCCTTTTTATCCTGAATAAGCCTGGGTTTAGACTCGGGTTGGTCCATGTCCAGATTTCGTCCTTGTTTAGTCCTGGATTAGAACCAATTAATTTCTATCGTCCCAGTTTAGACTCTTTTTACACCAGGTTTA